TTCAAATATGTCCTTACTTAAACATATCTTTTTCTCAAATTGCCAATGTATGTACACATTTCTTATGATCAATATTCTCTTTTTCTCAATAAATATAATAAAACTTCTCATTGTTTCTCCCGTAAATACTCCTAAGTCACATAAATGTCGCGACTTATAGAAAACACAAAAGAGGGAGGAGAAAAACTTAAGACATCTCTGGACAACTTTTTTAATACCTATAGTTTATATAAGCAGTGGTGGAAGTACTTTGGCCTGTTCGTGTGGATTTTTTTCACAAAAATTTAAATTCAACTTTTTTAATTATATTATTTTCTTTCACATGAATTTATTTTTTTCTTAACTCGAATTAGCGAATTAAATGAAGCCGCCACTCAAAACATTACTTTTCTTTACCCTAAAATCTCATTGGTGGAAATTTGAGAGTAAAAAGATGAAAGAGTGCAAAGGCAAGCTGCTTGGCAAAAGACAAATAAGAAAGGAGAAGAAGAAGGGGGTTGTCGTTTCTTATTTATCAGTGGTTTTTTCCTTAATTTTCATTTCTTATATATTTCAGCCCTTTTGTGTTGTTTAATTTTTTTTTTGTTTCAGTTTTTTTTTTTGGTTGAAAAAAAATATATGCGTTTATTTTGAGAAGTTCATTAACAATTTTTTGCTAAATGATCATTAATTATAATCTTGATAAGTGAAAACTCATACATCTCAGAAGTACAAAAAAAAAAAAAAAATGTCGTTGGAACTTGCAATCAATACAAAAAGAAATCAAATAAGAATACCGCATTGCTATTTATAATATTTTTAAGGCTACGTCAATTATTAGATGGTTAGAACTTGGTTATGAGAAGAAACAATAATGTGCATTTTTTTTACTTTATCGATTGATTACTTTGACGCTGATTGTACATGTTGTAACTGTCATCATGGAAAGAGTTTTTTTTTTATTTATTTATTTATTTTAAATATGAATATTATTGAAAACCGGTTATTAAATTGAATTGGCCAATAATAAATGGATGATAGCTTAGTCGTATACAATGAGAAATAAATATTTGATCATATAAAATATGAAAGTATAGTAGCCCTTCCAAAATATGAAAACTTATCGTCGTCTATTGTAATATGCATTGAGTAGTTCTTAAAAAATTGTGATACTATTTTATATATTTTTAATGGCAACTATTTTCCAAATTAAGAATTAATACACGCCTCCGTTGAAAGCAAAAGTTGGGTCCGCAATTGTATATAAAAAGGGAGAATAACTAATAACTAAAATATTAAGAAAAAACGTGTAAAATAAATAAGTATTTTTTTTTTTTTGTTACCACTCAAACAAGTGTGTGTGAGTGAAGATATACACTAAGTTGTGCCCTAGAAGTTGCTAGAATGAAAGGCTGCTTTCCTTAATCTTGTTGATTGAACAAAAGTAGAACTAATTAAGAGTTCCACTCGGCAACAAAAGGATAAGAATAAGGATGTATACTAAGGTCTCGTGCAATTCGCCGATTCAAGTTTTTAATTCGAGTTTAGATGTGACTTTATGTGAGTGCTTTTAATTGCAGTAGAAAAAGTTAGATGTGGCTTTTTATGAGAGCTTTTAACTGTAACAAAATTGAAATTGAAAACTCAAATCGGTGAAATGAACGAGACCTAAAGGTCTTGTATGTTGCTTTCTTTCTTTTTTCTTATTATTTTTATTTTTATTTATTTTTTTGTTTGTTGCTTTTATTCCAAGTTTAGAATTACCTTCTTTTCTTTCTTTGGGAGGTATTTTTGGCTTGGTTAGAATCTGCCATTCAATAGATTCTTTTAGTTTGCCAGCAGTTAGTACATTTGTTTATGTTTACCTTTTGGCTCTTGAACTAAGTGAGCAGGCAAACAACACTTGGCAATACTAATGGCATCCCCTTTGAAGATTATCGGTAACTCTTTATATATATATATATAATACATATTCCTTTGAAGATTATCGGTAACTATATATATATATATATGTATAAATCTTTTAAGTGCACTACAATCTTAAGTACGTACTAGATATATTTGAATTATTTTCAACTCATTTTTTCTTGATCTTAAAATCCCATGTAGTTCTGAAATGGTCGGACATACTAGCTGAATATTCTTTGTATCTGATGATAACATATCTGACGAATGTATGGGAGCTTAACTTCATGCTTGCTGCTGCAATTGTCAATGTATTCTGGGGAATGTTGGCCATAATCCCAACTCCCATGCAATTTATAAAGGATACTAGAGTGCAAAAACGTTCGATGGTTTTGCTTTCTAGTTTTGCCTATACTATTGTAAGTCGTTAAATATAACTCAAAACTTTTTTTTACAGTATTTTCTTTTATAAAAAGTTTGGAATTTCTGCTCAAGCCGCCTATGAACAAAACGTACCATATGTATACTTAAGCTAACTTTATTATTATTACTATCAATATTATTGAGTCGAGATCTTGAAAAATTAACCAAACAGTTATCATAACTTAATAACATAAATTAAAAATATAGTTAAATCATTTTGAAAACAGGGATTAGGCTTTTTGGCAATATCAACTCCAGAAATTCTCTCCAGCAGCTGCAGGGAATATAAGCCGGAATGCGTTGGCACGGGAAACAAGATGTTATTTTTCATAGCACTAGTACTAATAGTCATTGGAAAATCTGGTTACACAACCTCATTAGAAGACCTCATTACTGAACAAACAAGGGGGCTAATAAGCAAGGTCAAGCTTTTCCTGTTGAGCATCCATGTCTTGGTCATTGTTCATTTGATTGGAGTCATAGCAATTCCTCACATTCTAAAGCGATGGTCAACTAGATTTGGAGTCCCGGCTTTGTGTATGGCGGTCGCCACTTCTATTTTCCTGACCGGTTTCGGTCATACCGTCGTGACACAGAGAATCCAGGCTTCCTAACTAGAGTGTGCAATCTATTTGCAAGATGTGTACCATGCTTGATCAGGTATAACTCTAGTCCTTCCCTAGCTCTATCGCATACTGACCATCAAAATGGCATTGCGCGTTTGTATGTAATTGAGAAATTAATATCTGTACAAAGCTTTCTCATGAACACTTTTAGATTATATAAGAATCAACCAAATTAAAAAAGAACGCGCACTATATCTAAGGTTTGAGAAAGTTTTAAGTGTGAGTAGGTTGTAGGAGGTTTTTCAGCCCCCAAAAAAAAAAAAAAGTTTGTCGGAGGCTTTTTTCGTGTTGTACGACGTAATTTCCCTATATAAAATGGAAAATTATAAACCATAGATATCTTAACACATTTAAATTTGGTAAATAATTTGGTACGTAGTATTACTCAAGCCAATTAATTATATACAACATGCAGTTCTGACGATGATAGAGTTGAATCTACATCATCAGGCCACCAGACATCGGAGCAAGAACGAAATACAGGACACGAACTTTGAGAATTGGTGAGAGATAGAAAAAAAGTTTATCATGTCCGTGATTCCCCTATGCTTCTTGGGGGTGGTATCTTCCATGGGAAACAGTTATTTCCTTGAACAAGCCAACCACATGGAGAAAAAGATCATAGGCCCCTTAAAGGTTCCTACTTGTTATACTCCCAGGGTTTTACTACCTTGCACAATTTGTATTGCCCAGATTATACTTCTACACCGTAGATTGTTGCACATCACCTTGTTGTCAATGCGTAAAACGGTGGTGTCACCGTATTGGAATCGCCCTGTCATTGATATTTGCATTACTATGTTGCATTACCGCTTCAAAAACGGAGAGTCGGAGATTAGATAAAGCTGCGAAGAATGGATTATTAGATGCCCAGAAGCGCAATGTGATGGTTCCCATGAGCATCCTTCGTCTTCTTCCGCAGTATTTTTTCCTCGGAGGCCTCGATGGAATGGCGTATGAGAGCATCGAGAGATTCTTCAAGGATCAGGAGATCCCTCCTTCTCTGAAACCTTACATGATTGATTCTGCTATTGGTGTTTTTGGAGTGGGAAAGATCGGGAACGTCCTGTTGTCTTATGTAGTGGACAAGATTACAGAAAGGGAAAACAATCTGGGTTGGTTTGCTGGGACTATCAACAGTAGTCGTCTCGATAATTACTACTGGTTCTTGGCGACATTGACAGCGATCAATTTTCTTTGGTACATTTTTGTGGCAATTCGATATCCTCCGAAAAACAGAGAAAACAGATCCTCATGGCTGTCATGTTGCACAGGTAGAAACATATGTTGTCTACCATTTTGATCAGTACCACTATGGTTCGCGCTCATTCTAGTCTAGTCTACTCTACAACTGTAAACTTCTCTTATGCTTGTGTTGCTATATGGATAATTTCTGGGACAAATGATAATGATTGTTTATTTTTTTTTATGCATTAATGATTTCATCTCTCACTGCGAGCTTTAAGATTTCAGTTCTGCATTGTGATTGACCGATTGTATTGACCTGATGATTATTGATTTTCCCTGATGAATGATACTTCATTTTATTGTGGTGAATATGATGGTTATTTTGGCATCTACAGGTAAAAAACTGCTAACTCCATGCTTGTTTTAATGTAAGCCTTTAGACCCATTAACCACAAACAAAATTAGGAGGAAAAAAAAAAAAAAACTTATTTTCTGTTCATTTCACCGATTCGAGTTTAGAATTCGAGTTTTGTTACAGTAAAAAACTCTCAGAAACAATCACATCTAACTTTTTTACTACAGTAAAAAACTCATATAAAATCACATCTCAACTCGAATTAAAAACTCGAATCAGCAAACTAAACGGGCCATTAAACTCCATTAAACTCCTGTCTCCACTTGACTATATCACAATTCACATTTCACAAGCGGGGAATCTGCCACGTTACTAGAGCAACCAAAAGACAAAAGCTCCATAATAAGAACCAGAAAAAAATCATCATAATAGTAATAAATCTGCGGATGGGTATCTTTTTCCAGTATCTTTAATTTCAGATGTCTAAATAAATTTTTGTTTTGTACATGTACAGAAATGTCCTACATCTGATGCGAAAGAATTTGAAGTTAAATCAATAAAATATCACTGTTGTGCTTCTTGGTTCTCCCTTTCAACTGATTGCTTGATTTTTCATACAGTAATAAAAATTAAAAAAAAAAAAAAAAAAACAAAAGTCACCCGCACTCAGAATCTCAATTATTCAGCTGTCCTGAATTTACCAGTTAAAATTGATCCACTCTTCTTCCTATTCAAAGATCAGCCCTTTGGCTTTGTGTTTTCACATCAAGAATTCTTTGCAGATAAAGAGATGTCAAAGGGGTTTCTTACTTCCCAAACAGATCTTCCTATTCTAAATATAAAAATCAGCCTTGTTTATATAGATTGAGGTATGCTTCCAAGCAAAATGAATCAACATTCTCCCACCAGGAATCCGCTGAGACAACTATTAAATCAAATTCAAACAAGGCTTCCCAAACCAGAATCACCTGAAAATATAAAGGTCAACTTAAAACTTAGAAGCCAAGCTTCGGCCGAAAAGAAATCACAGCAAGAGTAAAAGATAATTTTTATCTCTTTCTAATTTCAAAAATTAACAGACCTTCCAAGCACTTCATATAATACTTTTTCTAGGGAGGAAAATAGAACTTAGCCCCCATTTGGTTCGCTGGTTTAAATTTTATTAGTTTGAACTTTTTGATTTGTTCAAAAAAATTCAAGCTATGCGGTTTAAATTGTAGTTTGAATTGACGTTTAGATGTGTAGTTAAAGTTTTAATTTGAATATGAAATAAAATTCGAATTTGTGTTTAGTAGGTGTGAAAAGCAAAGAGTATGGGCACTTTATACTGTTCAAAAATGGTTTCAACAGTTGAACTTGTGAGGGGAGCTAAACTCTAAGTTGAGCCGTTTAACTCAATTCATACGGGAAATATAATTCAAACTGCATGCTTACCAAACGCCAATTCAAACCGTGCTCACTGTTCAAATTGAGTTGAACTGAACTAAACTAGTGCAACAAACAGGGGCTTAATTGTTTGGTTAGCAAGTAAAGAACTAAAGGGAAGAACGCATCTCTAAACTTCCTCCACAGAGTATAACTTGCAAGTAATTTTAAACAAACCCAAAGATATAGCGTACGGGATCAAATCTTCATGATTATAGTTTTAGACAGACTCACTTTGTTTCGCAGACGTCCAAACCACTACTCCAGCATTCTTCTCTGCTTGTTTGTTACTCTTCAAAGGTTTCCTATGAAAGTCTTTCTTGTCTGATAAAAAAAGGTAGGTGTCAAGGTCTGACCAGTATGTTGTATATTGAGAGGGAGGCCACAATTCATTGAGATATTTCCCATAGGAGGTTCTTGTGAACTACCCTCACCCTAATCAAATGAAGTAAAGAACCGTGGTGAGTATCAAGACAAAAATATTAACTAAAACAGCCAAACAAGTAAACTATGAAAAAATTGCACATGAATAAATCAGATTATAGACACCACACCATACGGCCATACGGGGCAGATTGTTCATTACTATATATACTTCCTATACTGACACAAGAGAGAAACTAACAATATTAACTGAGGTCTCAAACATGCTACCCTAAGTTGGAGAAAAAGAAAACCATGTATAGGTGAATTCTTATGATCATTTGACAACCATATATCTATACCATCATATCAATGCGTATCTTTTGATCAGTTAGCCTTTTATTCCGTGATTTTAACCTATTACTTGTATTTCCACTTTCGATTTGTTTGGAAGTATTATTCCTCTGTTTTCCAAGTGATTTTTATTTGTTATTTGTTTATTTTGAAAGGACAAACATAACCCAGGAAGTCTAAATTTGAAAAACTGTTGAGAGTATACAACATGATATCCAAGCACATGTGGGTACTAAAGAGGAACAAGAGATACAAATAATTAGGAACTTATGGTTGTGTTTATCTTTCAGAGTTAATATTAGGGACTATTTACGTTTATTTGACTTTCTTCTAACGTGACAACGGGATTGATTTTCAAAGAGGTAGAATTGTTTACTTACAGTGGCGTACCCTCGTGTTTAGTTACCACTGTTGAGTTTGGAACCCTGAGCAGACTACCGGTGATAAGCCAGAGGAAGGTGAGGAGGATGTCAAGTCATCATGCCCCTTATGCCATGGGCGACACATGTGCTACAATGGCCGGGACAAAGGGTTGCGATCCCGTGAGGTGAGCTAACTCCAAAAACCCGTCCTCAATTCGAATTGTAGGTTGCAACTCGCCTGTTTATACATAGGCTTCTTTGGTACGAAATGAGCCACTTCAAATAAGTTCATTGCTCCGGCCTAGAATACGATTAATAACCCGGCATGTGCTACATGAGCCCCCATCAGTTTACCGGATAAATTGATAAGTCGGGCATTCCCAGCCCACCAAGCGAACTAGTGATTTCTTAGTCATGACCAGCTAAAGCTAAAATTCCATTAAAGAGCGTTTCCATGGGGTAGAACCTCCTGAGGGAATATAACGTTTTTTTGAGGCTGATCTTGAGCCGCCATCCAAGCAAGAATACCCTCGTTTTATAGCCTCGCATGTTTTCTACATTTTCTCTACAACAACCATATTACTACATTCCTATATCAAGCACCTATTGCTTCTTCTAGAATCAAGTGTCCAGATTGAAGATTTTCTTGCATTTTATATTGTTGCTTAATAATTCTTCTAAGCTTTAACTCGCCAGAGTCGAGTTCTGTAACCAAAGGAGAATGATGAGGACAACAAGTGTAATAATGAGGAATTCAGGCTCATGTTAATCTATTAAGATTACTTGGGATTTAATTGAGTTTGATAGTTATACTTTGGACCTTGATAATTATTACTGAATAAAATTTTTCTTTTCTAACGTTCTTGCAAAATCATGCTTCTGGTGTCAAATTTTTTTCTTATTCTCTTTCCCTTTCTATCTCTTTCTTTAATCAATCTTTGTCCAACAACAGATACCAACATGCCTTGTGCTTGTTTCCTAATCTACTAAATTAAAATAAAAAAAATAAAAAAAAATCCAGGGAGTAGCAAGTATAGATGTATTCTATAAAATTTGAGATCTTTTTGTCTTTACTATTATCAGTTTCTAGCCATGGATACATGCATGCAACCAAATTACTACCGCTTAAACAACTAGATTCTCATACACCCGACATTTAAAAACATAGAATCATGAACTGCATAAATAGTCACTCAGCTGATAGACAGAAAAAGAGTTTCTAAAGCACAAAGAGATATGTATAATCGAACTAAACCAATCACCGTGTTACTATCAGTATAAGCTATAACACAATGTTGTCTCTTTTTGGCTGAGGTTGATTGCATAAGTGCACAAATTTAGATTTCAGATTTTGTTTCTAACCATATATCATTAAAGACTAATAGGATTTTAGTTAATAATTTATAGCCAAGAAAAAAAAATACATCTGAAGAAGAATTAACATGTTGGACAAATGAAATGAATTCAGCGGATTGGAATCATCAACAATTTAAAGTAATGGATTGTTTCGCTTCCGCATCATCTTAAGCATGGAAATAGAAAAACAGAAATTGTCAAATATACCGAGTATAATAGGTTCCTACCATCCTTAATGTATTTTTTTTTTAATACAGTTTCAGAACAGGCCTAATGCTTCCAATCTTTCCAGAAGCAAAGTAAACGTATAAGCTAATTAAACAATATAAATAATTTCAAAAAAAAAAAAAAAAAAAAACAACAAACAGATTCTACAATCAAAAGAGAGGAACAATAAATGAGTTAACCGTAACACATTACCACAAAAAGAGTGGCGAAAGATAAAAGGTGAAAAAGAAATTGTACCTAGATTGTTTACTGCGGCCAAGCTTGCAAACCTCTGTAGAACGAGCAATAACTATGCCCCCTAGTGACATTGTCAAGAAAGCCCCAGTTATCACTATAATGAAAGAGAATGTATAAAGCTTTTACGCCTTCTGATTAGCCCATCCATCAGTTTGGCATAGACAGATTTGTTTAGAACAATGCCTTTCTGTTTTGACTCTCCAAAGGCGTGCAGGGCATCTTTGTATTTCCCTTCAATGCATAGCTGATTAATCCGCTCTGAATAAGCTGCAGAGACTGAATCAGATTCTACAGAAATTTCATGGGTCACTACATCTTGTCCTTTGGCCATTTCTAAGAACTGCTCGGGTAATTTTCCACTTTCAATCACTTTTGACAAAAACTCTTGAGCTTGCTCAACCTTACCAGCATCGATAAGTCGACTACGAATGGGATTATATGTATATTGGTCAGGCACTAGTTTCTTTTTTTCCATGTTCGCAAGAAGATCAAATGCCTCTTCAAATCTACCTTCTTTACACAGACCCGATATCAACGTGTTGTAAGTAACTACATCAATGTCTTTTCCTTTAGAAATCCATGTGTTGAATAGCTTAAGAGCCTTTTCAAGCATACCCCCTTTACAAAGCCCATTAAGAAGAATGTTACATGTAAATACATCTGGCTTGAACAATTTCTCAACCATCGTGTTGTAGAACTGAAATGCTTTCTCCACCTCCCCCTCAAGACAGTAACCGTTAATGATTGTGTTAAACGTAATTTCATCAGGTACCAGACCACATTCTAAGAGTTCATTCAGTTTATCTTTCGCTTGATCAGTTTTTCCAAACTGGCATAACCCACCTATTATACCGTTATAGGTGACAATACTTGGAATAACGTGTTTCTCTTTCATCTCATCCCAAAGCTCCAACGCTCTGTCCACCTTTTCATTCTTAATGTATCCCATCATTAAAGTTCCGAAACTTACCTCGTCGACAATATAACCTCGTCTTATGGCACTGTTAAGTAACTTATATGCCTCATCAAGTTTCTTTTCCCCACAAAGTGTATGTAGAACAATATTGAGAGTACAAGCGTCCATCTTTAGCCCTTTCCTACCCATCATATCCATCATCCCAAATGCCTCAGCCATTTTTCCCGCTTTGCAATACCCGTTTATTAAAGTATTGTAAGTAACACAATCAGACAAATGTCCACTTTCTTCCATCTTCCTTACAGTATCACATGCTTTATCCATCTTCCCTTCCTTAGAAAACCACTTCGCCAATATATTATGAGTAATGGCGTTTGGTTTCACTCCCTTTTTAAACATTTCAGCAATCAAACCAAATGCCTCTGTACTGCTCCTCCACTTAAAGCACCCGTCAACCAACGTGTTGTAAGTGATCACATCAGGTAACAACTTCAAACTTCCCATCTCGTCTCGAAGCCCAAAAGCCTCTTCGATCTTACCTTCCTTGCAGAACCCACCAATCAACATGTTATAAGTCCAGACATCAGGCAACAAACTATTTTGCTTCATCAACTCGATGATCTTCCCCGCCTCTTTCAACCACCCCAACTTGCAATACCCACAAACCAAAATATTGTATGTGTTCCTATTCAGCATCACTCCTTGATTTTTCATGTCCAACAGCAACTTTCGCGCCTCTGCTAACTGTCTCTTCTTACACAGCGCATCCAGTATTGTATTGTAACTCAGATTATCAGGAAAACAGCCAAACTCCCTCATACTAGTCAACAACGCAAGAGCATCCTCAAACTTATTCTCATTACAATAACCCCTAATCAAAATATTAAAAGTACTCGTACTGGGCCTAATCCCTAATCCAACCATATCCTTGAAAATCCGTTTCGACATCGAAATCGCAGAAGTAGAAGGGAGTCTCACCAGCGCATTGAGAAGGGTGTTGCAGGTGATCAAACTGGGACAGAGACCGTGTCGTTTCATCATGCCGAAAATCTGCGCGGCGAGGTGGGGCTTTCCGGAGTCAACATAGGAAGCAATGGAAATGTCGAGGAGAACTTTGGAGGGTCTAGGGAGATTGCGGGTCGGATGGAGGAGGGCTTGGTGGAGATGGTTTTGGCGATCGGAGGCAATGAAGGAGACGAGGAGGAACTTGGCGTCGGAGAAGTTGTTGCGGCAGAGGAGAGAAGGGAGGAGGGCGAGGAGGGGGTTGGGGGATTGGGTGAGGGGGGGAGTGTGGGACTGCAACCATTTGAAAAAGGAAATGAGAGTTGTGGGTTCGGAAGAAAGGGGTTCGGAGGAGAGAATGGAGATGAGGAGGGAATCTGTTATTTGGGGAATGTATGGGGTTAGGGCGTGGAGTGGTGGGGGTTTGGAGGACGTCAGGATATTCGTTATGGTTTGGAGGAGTTGGGGTTGGGGAGGGACCATATTCTTGTCTGCAAATACACAAACCATACGACTTTACTAAGAGAGCAACCAAACCATTGAAATCGAGTGAAGAGACAAGAAGCTTACCTGAAGAGATGGAGAGAAAGAAGGCCGGCGTGAGTGAAGCAGAGCTGCAGAGATTGCTATTCTTCCTCAAGAAAACCCTAGCAGTGAAGAAATGGAGAAATCACCGCCATTTTCATTTCACAGACAAAAACTTCACTCACTTATACATATACAGTTTATCGACATAAAAATGGTGATCACTGCTCTACACTCAAGTCGCCGGAAAAAAAGAGAAGGAACAAGAGTGCTCCGGTGTGGCCAAACAAAGCGCCGTCGGCATCTCAGAGTACGCTCCGGCGATGCGCAGCTCCGGGATCTCCTTCAAGCCACCATCTCCACCAAGCTTTGAAGAAGCTGGAGACCACACGAGGAGGATTTCACTGGCGCTCTCCGGCGTCGAGTGCCTTCGATGACTAGCTAGTGCGCGGGGCCGGCGACAACGCAGGCAGCGCGAGACGGTGGCGCTGGAGGCGAACTGGTGTGGTGTGCGACTTAAAATTCTTGGCCCAACTCGATAGTAATCGGATCCCTAAAGTCTCTGCAACAATAACCGAATGTAATAAGGGCTTTTTTTGTCATTCCGTTAAAATAAGTTTAAGAGCTCGTATAAACATTTATACGTTTAAGTCGATAATTTTAATTTATTAAAGAAAATCTTGGGAGAGAACCGTTAGTGTAAAATTAGATAGCCGGACCCCAAAAAAAATGTAGTATGTTAATTATGTAGTATGTTCATAGTTAATTTTATATATATACATATATTATTTATGGGATACATAAATTGGATAGGAATTATTGGATTTTTAAAATTTGAATCCAACATCCAATCCAATCCAATTGGATTAGTGAAAATATCATCCAAATCTGATCCAATAGTTTTTGGATATCCAATATTTTTGGATGAATTAGATTGGATTGGTTGAATCAATTAGATGATTGGATGATTTACCCACACCTACTTGTGAGATTCCAAGGAACTGAAGCCTTTGCACTACTGACAAGAAAAAAACTTGAGCAATTGGACGAGAAATCCATGCTTTCCTCCTGTCTGTCTGCAAGAGAAACTTTTTTCTTGTTTTATTTATTTATTTAGTTCCATTAGCCTTGAAAACGATCTAAATAAATACACCCAGTTTATTTCACTAGTTCAAATCACAATTCAAATTTTTATTTTCTCTTATAAAAATTTAAATTTAATTTTTTTTATTACGGTGTTTTCTCTAATATGAATTCACTTTTTAACTCAAATTTTTAACTTGAACTAACGAAACAAATAGAGCCACAAGAACCAACACAAGCACCATGCCCTTTAACGTTGGCCGTTCGTTTATGCCCCTCTCCAGTTAGTCACATGACCTCACGTGCAAACTTTCCGCGCATCTCTAACAGCAATAGTAACGTTTGGGACGGTTAAAAATGACACTATCCAAGGTTTCAAGAGCAAAATTATAAATGAGTGTAAAGTTCGAGGGTCAAAATGTGATGATCCGAACTTTTTCTTCCTAGTTCCATTAGGAGGTGTAGCGCTTCCTCAATGAATAGTTATAAATACGTATATATTGACGTGTATATTCTTTCCAGGACATATACTATACAATAACTGTAAAAACAAACTAAACCCAAGACGTTGTAGTAAGCTCGTTTGTTTCATGCGTTTAAATCAATGATTTTTGATTCTGATATTTGAAATTTAAATTTTTTGTGAGAAGAAAACACAATAACAGAATCAAAATTATAGATTTAAATGCATAAAACAAACATGTCCTTACAATGATGCAACCAAGTTTTTTCCTTCCTCAAAAAGAAAAAAAAAACACAATTTTGTTGGGAACTTGTACAAGACACCAATGGATGAAAATCAAAAAATAATATAATACAAAAATCCATTATTATAATTCAAAACACAATAACGTCATTCCATTTACTACTAAACCAAGAAATCAGGGGTAAAGGCTACGTTCTACAACACATGATTGATAACATCTGGGCAGAAACCCGTAATGGCAATCACGTATCTTCTAGAAATTAACAAAAGAAAACTAAGCAAGAAACACATAACTTCAAGAATTTACTTTGTAAAGTTTTTCCATCGTCCCCTTCAAGAGTCCACCATCAGCGCCTATAACTTCAGCCGCCTTTTTCCCATTTTGAAAGAAATGAAATGTTGGCTGCCACAACCAGAATGCAAGAATCAAAACTACTCATCTCACAAAACCTCAAACAGTTGAGATAAGCCACCAAGACATCAAAACATCAAGAGTTTGTGCACCTTCAGTGTGTTTTCTTGTACTTGTTTGTTTCCTTCTCTTTTCCGACTTATAAGCATGCATGTACAGATACAATGAGGTAAAGCCACTAAGACTTATGGCATATCCCTAACTACCTGTATTGATGTTTTTTTGGCTTAAAAAAGGATGCCTTTACCTAAATTTTATCCAATATGTACATTTTTATTGCTGGCATTGATACAAATATTTCTGTCAACATGTATATTTTGGCTTTTGCTACATAAAGACATATTTCCATATATTTAAAAAAATAATAATAATAAAAGATCAAACTATTTACCACAGATGTAATATTCAACTCGCTCAATGTCTTTCCAAGGTCTTCCTGCAAATAGAATGAGTGATATTAGCACTGCCAGATTCGATACATAACAAGCACAGTAACTCTTTGCCAACGAAGCTGCACAGCTCAACTTAAAAATAAGATGAGAATTGTCTATAACACATGATCAAGCAATTTATGCAAAAGGTTCAGCATCACCATAGGCATATCAGGGCACCAAGAACTCATTTTGAACACAAAAAGGCTCAGCAGAACATGCCACGAAATACTGAAGGTTAAAGCCAGTGACCTTTCTTAAAATAATGAACATTGTGCAACGCAGGCATAGGTCAATTAGGTTGTTTAATGACGATGTTTCCAATATCCCAGGAAATCTCTAGCACGAATACCAAATTTTTTCTTTATCATCACCGATTGAATTCTATTACCAACACACTCTTTTGAAAAAGGCACAAGTCTTGTTAAAAAAAAATTGTGGCTTAATATTCAAAATTTAACACAGTAATTGTAGAGTAAAAAAATTAGCAAAGATAAATTAGTAGTAAAGCAGGCAATGTCAAACGCCTTTGTTGCTACTGGACATTTAACATGGTCCACGTACCTAGGACTGCATCATTTTGTATGATTCATGCTCAAATTAGAGAATAGTCGCCCAAAAAAAAAAGGAAAAAAAAAAAGAAAATCACAAGTATAGTGAAAAGTTGCGGATTAATGTTTTTATGTTAAACACACTAATGGTTGAATAAACAACTTATTCAAGCTAAATTTGTGGTAAAGGAGGCAAGGTTTTTGATACCTAATGCCAACTTATCCCCTTCACACACTGCAACATATAATTTACGCAACCATATGAGTTGTTAGCTAATATTCCATGCATGAGAGTCCTAAGTCTTTTGAGTCTAATCTTATGCACAAACATTGAACAATGAAGCTGGAAAATATTCGAGAAAGTCTGGGACAGAAGCATAAGCTATATCTCAATACCACAAAGCATTCATACCTCATCAATGTCGATTTTATATGTTGTTACATGGGGATACTCCTCACTCAACTTTCCAATGACTGGAGATATTAATTTGCCTGTTTAAAATAAGTTGAAAAAGAACTCAGTTGTCTGTATGAGGAGGAATATAAGAAACAAAGCACAATTTTCTTTCCTTCTTTTTTTTTTTTTTTTTTTGGGAGGGGGTGGAGGGTTAGAAACTAAGTCTGCTTTCCTTACTAACAAGCTAAAAATATGCAATTAACGCTTACAAGGCCCACACCACACTGCAGTGAAATAGAAAATTGCTGGCAGAGATCCATCTGTTGCAACATATTTTACAGACAGAAAGCAATCAATAATTTACTTAATACTGAGAAATTAAAACCTGGCAAGAAAACAACATAGATAAAGTGATACCTTGAACTTTTTTAAATGCACTTTTGAACCCTTCCTCAGACTTAATGGTAACAATGTTTGAAGGACCTGGATCATGGACATCATATCACACATGTTTTAGACTAAGATGTTTGACATTTTTGTCAAGTTATTGGTCATATGAAAAAAGAATAGACAGATACACATAATCAAAAGAAGGGTGAGTAACGCCTAATGATGCCAGAAGCCATAAAGTAATTATTAAACAGAAAATTTAATTGGTAACCTACCCCTACAAAGGTTATAATCTATTTGTTGCCTTCCTATATGGGACCCATCACATGACGCAGAACAAGATTAGGATATTAGGATTTAAATTAGTATATTTAATTGTTAGGATAACATTTTATTCTTAGTATTTGATTTTGAATTTAAGATTATGTTTATCTCTTAGGATTATTTAGAGTTTAGTTAAGTTCATCTTAATGTTAGCCTAGATTAGATCTCTGTGAAAACAGTAATGATTGTAATTCCATTGAGAGAGTAAAAGACTTATTACTGAATACTGTTTCGAGTTTCCTCCTCTTGAGTTCTTTTTCAATCTTGAATTCTCTATTTCTCCCCTTTGCTTCTATTTCTATCTCTCCAACGGTTCTATTTCTCCTTCTTGATTCTTCTTGTCTCCCTTTGTCTTAAATCACTTGGGTTTCAGAGCCAAATTGGTTCTTACCTATCAAAACCCAACATGAATTTACCATATTTAACATGCAACTATCCATTTGATAACGGAAAATAACTTGCATTCTTTTTATTTCTTCTTTTTATTTCCCCTTTAAGGGGCAGTCCATCTCATAGCAGTAGAAGACTTCTCTGTTTGTAGCACAGTTCCATAACAAAGTTGACTTTTTACGGGTTACCAGCTAACTAATAGAACGCCATTTTAGTTTTCAAAGGGATCTGAAGGATTCCTGCTGGTAACTTTGGATAAGAACTACTCTTTATGCAGTACTTATTATATAGATGTCATAGCACAATGAACAACTGACGTGCAGAAACAAACAGCAATCAATTTCATATCACCACAATGTATTCTCATATGATTAAACTCAAGGTCTATTATGAAAAGAACCAACAGAGATTAAAAACAATTTGAATTCCCTATACATATATGAATTGGGAAAAGCCATAAGAAAAAAGCACTATCCTCAAAAAGGTCACCTCTATTCTACAGTTCATTGGGACATAAAATCCACCTAACTGAACCTTAATCGCTCAAAATTTTTAGACAGGTTGTCAGAGTGTTGGTCCTGAGAAGCTGAGTCGGCTATAAATAGTTTAAAAGCTTATACAGTTCTTTTTGAATATCCATTCAAATCTTGGTTTCCATTACCTATTATTTAGTTAACAACTTTGAAAATTTCCAAAATTCCATATGGAATGTAAACATAATCATATGGGCTCTAATCAATTCCATAAGCACATAAGCTAACACGGTAGCGGTGGTGGCAGCAATTACAATAGTGTGGTAGTGGCGGTGTTTGCGATTCATCCTCGGCCTCAATGCGCACAATTGCACTGTGCAGGCAATGGTTGTGACAATTTCAGTGTTAATGTTGATAGAACGCATGAAAAATAAAGGAAAAACACAAATAGGTTATCGGCAGGGAAACCCAAGAAAAGCACCAAAAGTGGTTATAATAGTCTTTCCCGTTCTTTTCCATTGTTTATACAAGTTATGAAGACAGACGAAGTTATTCGAGTTTCTAGTATCAACGAATACGAAAACTGGTCTTAAGAAATTAAAATGATTTCTCTCCAAAAAACCAAAAAAAAAAAAAAAAGAATGAAACTAACGTATAAAGAATGAATGAAACTTGATGAATTCTCTCCAAACAATTAAAATTCTCATAGCAATATGATTCCCCAAAACAGAAGAGAATTTTTCCGACCATTTCCTAGCAATTTAAAGAAACCAAGCACTCCCACAGAAAACCTACTGAATCATTCTTGAGGCAATCAAACACTAGAATTTCAAAAGAAAGAAAGAAGAAAGATAGAAAAGTGGTTACCTGAGGGAGAAGAGAGGAAGCGGTGTTGTTGCAGAAAAGGCAGGTTAGAGAAGTGAAGAAAGCCTTTGGAGATTGGTGTCAAAGGAGAGGAGGTAATCGGTGGAGACGGAGGAGGAGGAGGAGATGCCATTCGAATGGAATTTGAGGAAATGGAATGAAACTGATGAACAACACTATAAGATGAGCACAACTTATCACGGCTACCAATCAGTTGCCGCACCAATCCTACTGAATTTCTCGCCATTACTCTCTCTCTCTCTCTCGGTTTATAGGGTTTAAAGACCGAGGTTTTGCCTGTAACAAGGTTATGCAAGACGAGTGGTGACTTGGAAAGACGGCCGCGGTAAGCCCCACAAGGTGGGTCCCGTATTTTGGATTATTTGGGTTTTTTTTTTTTTTTTTGGTATTTTTGAGTTAGGATGATTTGAGTGGTGATCTTGAGTTAAGTTTGAGTTATAACTTAAGTTGAAGTTGTAACTTGAGTTTGTATTTAGATGTGCATATTTGATTTATGATTTAAATTGAGAATCTTTTTGAGTTTGTGTTTAGGTGGGTCAAAACTTAAATTTATATTTAGATAGTATTTTAATAAAAACTCAATGGTGATGAAAATTTTTAATAAGGTATATGGGTGAGGTTTTATTCGTCTTTTCATTGTGAATACATAAAAAAAAATCATCTCAATCAGAATTAAAACGAAAAAGTTAAGACATTTTTAAGAATAGAAAAAATACTGTTCATTAACTTGAATTCGAGTTTATGAACTCGAGTTGAAGGGAAAACTTGAACTCGAATTTAGCCTCAAACTCAAGTTCAAACTCAAATTTTACAAAAGAACATGAACTTGAATAAAGTTGTAACTCGAATTCAAACTTTTTTTGAGTTTCATTACAAAAGAACAACCCCTTTATTTGTGACCCTAGACTTTATTTCCATTTTTATATTTGAAATATTAAGACAATATGTCATGATTTTTAAGTTTAGATTGACTTTTGTCATAATTATTAAAATTATTACAAAATATACTACACTAACATAATTTAAATTTTGTGTACTGAATTATATTTATATTTTTGTGTATTTAGTTCAATATTTTTAGATTTTATGAGAGTTTTATAATTTTACATGTGGTGTCATTTTCTACAATAATTTATATTTATTGGTATATGTCAATCCAATCTTAAAATTTGTGGTGTTTTTATAAAGTGCCTTTTTTATTTTATCTCTCTAAAAGTTCAGGTGTCCTATTCATATCAGTGGTCCAAACGAGATTTTTAGGCCGGACTAAGGTCATGCGAGCTAGGGCCAGATAGTAGTTCGAGATGACAATTTTATCATTAACTCATTTATTTATCGATTGTTGGGACTCGTATTAAACATGACTGAAAAAATTTATTTTAGACAGATTTGGATTGAAATAAGTTAAAATTTTAACTCGTCGTGAATCGCACAATTGAGATGAATTTAGGATCCGCCGTTTAATTCTATTCTATTTATAAATTAATGTATAATATATTCTAATATATAATTTTAAGAACAATCTATTACATAATATTAATGAAAATTTAAAGATACCTTTATTTTAATTTTAAATTAATATCTTGTATGTTTGTTTTGTTTAATTAATTGTTTATTTATCTTACAATAAAAATAACTAATCAGGTAAAAGACACCGTGAAAGACCTTGAACCCCTGACCGGAAATTTGCCTCGTAACCCGTCAACGTATATGGATGGACGAGACGGCAGTGATTTCTGTTTTATTTTCGACAAAAAATTGCAAAATTTAAGAGAATTGGCAAATTTAAAAAATAAGAGAACTCACATGCCGATGAACACGAACTCAATCGAAGGTGAAATTCCTCTAATCCTCTGTCGCTGCCGTGTAGTCTTTTTTTTTTTTCTTTGCTCAAACAAGTTCTCTGCCGTGTAGTCTTCGGAGATGAAATGGAGAACGTAATTCTACTTCATAGTACTGTAAAACTCTTTTCTTCTCTCATTCTTCGCGGCAAATATATATGTATGTGTGTGTGTATAAATATCAAATTCCCAAGCATTATCAACGTTCACTCTTCAGGTACTACTCAAAGTTTTGTTCATACCTTTTTAGAGATTCTTCTTCTCATCTTCTTCTTCTGCTTGAATTAGTTCACTCTTTTGTTTTTTTGGTCATTTTTTAAGTGCTTCACGATTAAGGTAATCAGATAAAAAGGAAGTTTCACATTTGGGTTTTTTGCGAGTTGAATGTTGGAAGACATTCGAGATTTCAAAAGCTATTTTAAGTTTTATTTATTTTATCAATTTAAATTTAGAATTTGAGTTTTATTACAGTAAAAAATTTTTAAAAATAATTATATATAATTTTTTTATTATAGTAAAAAGTTCTCACATAAAATTATACCTCAACTCAAATTAAAAACTTAAATCAACGAACTAAATGAGCATACTTTTTCTTCTCCCTTACCCCTTCTTTTTCTTTTTTTTTCCTTTTTGTAAATTTTTTTTTTTTCTGCACAAATACTCATCCGGTAGCCCTTCTTTTAACCATTGTTACATTGTAAGATAGGTCATATTTTAGTGCGGACAAGCCCAGTCAATAACAAAGTGGGGACTACAAAAGGGCCCAAAAAAAAAAAACTAAAAAGACAAAAAGAGAGTAATAAAAAGACAACCTGAGGAAGAAAAGAAAATGGGGGGCTCTTCATTTACCCCACGTATGTTTATCGTGATTTATGTACTAAATAGTAAATACCAAGTTGCCAAAAAAAAAAAATTAAAATTAGTCTATAGATGACGTTTGATTTATATATTTAGAATGAGAATTATTTTTATTTTAAATGTATTTTTTATGAAAAAAATATAAAAAATCATAAATCATGATTCAAAATCAATAACGAATATAAGCAACAAACACTTTTTAAATATGTATTTAGTTTAAAAATTTATAATATAATTTAAATTATAATTTATAATTTATTATAATATATATTTTTAAAAAAATATACATAAATTAAAAATAATTTTAAATTATGATATTAAATTTATAAACCAAACGTAAATAACGATAGAAGGAAATCTCGACTCCCAACAGACCAAAACCAACAGACCACAACACGACATGCGACCAACGATGTTCATAGTCCTGGTTTTCCTCTTCTCACTCTCATTCTCACAAGCAGACACGTCACTTCCACGCGCCACCGTCTGCATCGTCGGAAGCGGCATCGGGGGCTCATCAGTCGCACACTTCCTCCGCCTCTTCTCCACCTCCCTTGACGATGCCGTTTTCGACATCCGAATGTTCGAGCGAAACGTCGTCGTCGGAGGCCGCATGGCCACCGTTGACCTCTCCGGCGAGGTCTTCGAGGCCGGAGCCTCCATTCTTCATCCCAAGAATTTATACGCCTTGAACTACACCAACCTCCTCAACCTCACCATCAAAGAACCTTCCTCTTCTGCTTCCTCTTCTCCTTCTCTCGGAATTTGGGATGGTAAAAAATTCGTCTTCAAAACCCTCGGATTCAAATCGAACCTTCCCTTTGTTCAGAAACTCGTTTCCTATGCCAATTCCGTTCTCATGTTTCTTCGCTACGGATTCTCGCTTCTCAAAATGGAGAGATTTGTTCAGGTTTTCTGTTGTATTTGTATGAAATTGAATTTGCAATTTATTGTTCTTCTGTTATAGTGTGGTTTTGTTGATTTTGAGTTTTTTTAGTATGTTTTTGTGTGCTTTTGCACTGAATTTGTTGTGAAATATTGGAAATTGAGAGATTTTTGTTGTGATCCAGACTGCCGTTGGTAGCTTCTTGAAATACTATGAGAGTCATGAGTTGAGACCAATTTTCGAGAGTGTGGAGGAGATGCTTAAATGGGCTGGTTTGTACAATCTCACAACTGCCAATTTAGGACAGGAATTGACTGATGCTGGGCTGTCTCCGTTGTTGGCTCAAGAGCTTGTTACCGTAAGAAACTCTTATCTCCTTTTGATGATGGGCATGATCTGTCTTAATATTTTGATGTACTTTTTACTTCTTCTACCTTTCTTATGGTTAATTTCTGAAAGTTTGATGATGAGATAGAATTGGTGTTAAGTGCGCGTTCGAAATGATATAGATTTCTCTGACGCTTGGTCTTGAATTAGAATATAAAACTACTATGAAATGATCGGATGATTAGTTGTGCTATTGAGCTGACAAGTTTCCACAAGGAATGTGGTTTTTCTGGAATTGGCAATTCAAAAATTTCAAACAATTGGGGAACTATGGACAGGAATGTATGTCAATCTTGGCTCATGAACATATATGAGCTTAATAAAAGGGTGTATTACTGTATACGGAAAGAGCAACACCCTTCATGTGTAACTTGAAAAAATCACTCTTCATTTCCATTTTAAGAAACTTGTTAGAAAGCTTGAATTTATCTATTCCGAATTGTATATTTGACCTGAAAATAAGGCAGGCTTGAGCTTTTTCTGAAATTTGATTAGATTTTGAAACATGGTTGATCAATGCAGGTTATCACGAGAATTAATTATGGTCAAAGTTTAGCTATTAGTGGACTTGCAGGTGCTGTTTCATTGGCAGGAGCTGAAGGAGGATTGTGGTCCATCAAAGGAGGGAACTGGCAGATGGCTTCTGGACTTATTAATCACTCGAATGTCGCATTGCACCTCCATGAGGAAATAGAATCAATCTCTTCTATGGGAAAATATTATGAACTTAATTCCACCAAAGGAAACAGTTACAAATGTGAAGTTGCAGTGGTTGCTACGCCGCTAGATGAAGTGAAAATTCGGTTTACTCCTCTAATATCAATTCCTAAGAGAAGACTACAGCATACGCATGCAACTTTTGTTAGGGGCCTCCTAAATCCGGTAAGTTCCCTTTGCAGTCTTTTTACATTTTGAAGGTTTGTTTTGTAGTTTTAATCTTAATGTTCTGTTGTTCCCAAGGAATATTTTGGCCTGGATGCTGTATCGGATATCCCAGAACTGGTGGGGACAATTGAGGTTCCTGATCTTCCGTTCTCAAGCATTTCAGTTCTTAAGAGACATGATGAAAAAGATATGACTTACAAGATATTCTCCCGTAAACCTATGGATGATGCTTTACTAGATAGCATTTTCAGGTACTATTAACTAGCCAACTCTTGTTCACATTGTCTAACGAAACTAAAAGGACAAGAGGGGAAAAAGGGATTAAAAATTGACGTGCGCTTCTCATTTTTTGTTGGATATCCTTTCTTTTCCCTGTTCCTGATTGCTCAGTATTCTGCCATATTTAGTGGTGGAATTTTTAAACAACTTTAACTATTGTAATCCCTATACACTATGGTACATTTACCTTAGTTTCAGTTTGCTCTGATAATGTTCCCAATTATTTCCTACACCTTCTTTTCTCTGGCTGCCATTTGTTACCAAGTGCTACTATTCCACCTGTTTTTTTAGTTCTTTATAACTCATTGAAGCATAGCTAATGTATGTCTCATAGAAATATCACTTCCTTCTCCTTGTCCACTTAATTTTTCATCAAAAGCATATCGCTTCGCATGTGATTGTCACCAAGTGCCCAAGAAGCGATCTATTCCAACTGTTTTTTTACTTCTTTAAATATTACTCATTAAAGCATAGCTAATGTATTTTCGTAGAAATACCACTTCCTTCTGCATAGCCTTGTCCATTTCACTTTTCATCAAAAGCATGTTATTTCACAAGCAACTGTTATTGAAAATCATTTGAGATTTATAATGTCTTTTGGATTCATAATGTAAAATGAGAGGGATAGTCTAGCATCCATTGCATTTCCTAAAGCTCTAGACAACAGGTGTATTCCATGTAAATAAATCAGGTTGTCAATGTCTACTTCAATATGCTTTAGAGATCTTCAACCACCCCACCAAATTCATCTATTAGCATTTTCTTAAGACTCGTCAAATTGATAATCAAACTGATCACTAAACTGATGTATCATCCAAAAACCCTACCATCATCCAACTCTGTATCTACACATTTGGAAATTACTTGTTTATCTCTTTACGTTTCTCTCTTCTTTAGCTTTTTGATTTTTCTTTTGGAGAGAAGTAATTTTCATGAAGGGCACTTTGCAGTTTTTTCTCTCTTCTTTAGCTTTTTGTTTTTTCTTTTGGAGAGAAGTAATTTTCATGAAGGGCACTTGCAGTTTGGAAAAATAGTCTATGCCTTTAGTACACGACGGAAGTCATTCATTTTGCATTTAGGTTCACTTCATGATAGCTGAAGTAGATGGGGCAAAGCTACAACAGATTATATGTATCTTGGAGCTAGATTGATTAATGAATTTTCCGAGTATCTTCTTTTCCCCCACTAGTCAAGGGAATTCTAAATCCATAGCGAAGTTAAGACTTACATTGCAAAACCTCTTTCTTTTTCATGTACTGATTTTCATTTTCTTGGTGCATTTTCAGTTTCAGGAATGAGACAATTCGAATAGATTGGGGTGCATACCCTCATTATAATGCTCCCGAAGTATTTGCTCCGTTCATATTGGATGCTCAGCATTTGTATTATGTTAATGCCTTTGAGAATGCAGCAAGCACAATGGAGACTAGTGCTGTTTCAGCTGAGAATATTGCGCGGCTCATCATGTCAAGATATTTTGGTCGACCACCTTTCAGTTCTTCAAATTTGGGATCTTATTCTGGTACAGGAGCTTTGCGTGTAGATCTATGAGCTTTCTTTATTAGCAACCACTAAAACTTAAAAACACAGTAGTTTGAAATGTATTTATGATAAGCTCACATACAAATGAGATTTTTATATTGGGATTCTGGAAACTCATTAAACAATGTATATTACACAACTTTTCTTCATTGTATGATATGAGAAATTGAGCATCGTGTACTTGTGTTTTCATTAAGAGAAGATTGGGACTTGTTTCGGATAGCCTTTGCATTTACTTTAAATCAATAGAAGAAGAGTATAATTCAGGGTTGTTTAATTACTGTTTGGATTGTGTATGTAAAAGAGCTTTTGAATCTTTTAGTTAAATAAATCAAAAGCTCTTATAATTATAAAAAAAATAAATATAATATAAAGATATGGATATAATTTTTTTTAATTAGTTATTTACAAATAAAAAGGTTATAATTATAAATAAAAAAGCTTTTTATAAGTTCTTGTTTAGTTATTGGAATCTCCTCCCATTGAACGTAAGACCTGTATAGTAGTTTCTGTACAATAGACTTATATTTACCAGAACGTAAGTTTCGAAGACGTGGAAATATGGATTTGTTTTGTTGCGGAAACATAAGACATCTTTTGCTGGATTTAGGTAAGAAGAGTTTCCAAGACGTTTACCAATGAAAAGACGCTCAACCATTTTTGGTTTTTAAATTGGTTGATATTTTCCTTTTATACACTCAACAAATTTGGTACATTTTTAAAATGAACACTTGTACTACTTTATAAATGTTATTTTCTTATTTATAGTTAGCAAAATAACCAATCTGAAATATGCCAAGCTTATAAATTTTTCGCAACTTTTTTTTTTAAAAAAATTGAAAATGTTAGGGGTACAAAGGCGTTGGATTCAGATCATCTGTCCAATCTTTGATGTCCTAATATAATTAGTATCGTCTAACTAATTAAATCACGCCATATCATCTCATGATAAGTACAAAAGAGTTTGTTAAAAAGCAATTAAAATATTTTACACAACGTTGCATAATATGATTAATTCGATACTAATTAGAACACAAAAATTAGACATGAGATTTAAGTCCAAAGGCATTAGCCTACAATTTATTGCTTGTCTTTTTATTTAAGAAAAATTTATTGCTGATGCGTTTGAAAGCTCTATTTGGTTCAGGAAAAAGGGAAAAAAAAAAAAATAAGACCCCGTTCACTTCACCGATTTGAGTTTAGAATTTGAGTTTTATTACAGTAAAAAATTTTAAAAAACAGTCACATCTAACTTTTTTACTACAATAAAAAGTTTATATAAAATCACATCTCAACATAAAATAAGACTAAAGCTTTGTTGACCGGGTATTCGGGTTTATAATTTGGCGTGTCCAGCCATAGACTAGCTAATGTCCTTCAACGAACAAAGAAAAAAAAAAAGGTAATATGACAAAATAAGGAAATATTATTGGAATGACAAAAAGGTAACTTTTGTAGGTCAAGTATAAATGAAAAAAAAAAAAAAAAAAAAAAAAACTATTCCTGTAGTAGTCCCACAGGGCGTCTCGCTCCAGATACTTGCAACTTCATTAATTCCCCGAGTCTTTAATTGCTTCTTTGACAGCATATTTTTAGCTTCCATTTGTTCCTTTTCCTACAGTAAAAAAAAAAAAAAAAAAAAAGAATGTCACTACACAAGCATAAAAAAAGTAACATAACATCTAAAAAACCTTAAAAAATATATTAAACTTTTGAACGGATTTCTCAAACAGTTCAAGTGTTGTAGAAGCACGCACTCTTGCATCCTGCTCTATGGATAGGAACATTCGGAGGAGGTGATGGGTTTTCAGAGAAAGCAACTTCTCCATCATTCTCACCTGCAAATTCATTCATATGCGATTGTAAGGTTCTGTCCTTTGAAAAAGAGAAAACAATCCCATGCATATATATATAAATACATATTTTAAAAGATCCCAAATTAACATTATATTATACATCAAAGTTTATCACATATAAGAGAACAGATCAAAACATATTTTTTCATCTAATACAAGTGAGGAAAGCAGTATGATAAATGAAGGGCAATTCGCTGCCTATGAGAAAGATTTATACCTACGGCCAGAGCAGCATTATGTGAATTTTCCTCGGTAGATTGCAGGAGATCACTCAGGGTCTTGATGGCAGCATCTAAATCTTTCTCACCCTCTTCCAAGGCTCTTTCAAGATGCAGCTGAATCATATATAATTATGAAACGATGAGTCGTCTAAAATTCTACCAAAAAATTAATATCAACTAAGTTGCACAAACAGTTCAGTCGTTATATGCCAAGCAACAATTATTTCCAAGATCAATCGCATATAAGAGGTGAACATTTTATTGAATATACTATATATGACAATCAAACAAAACATGGTTAACCAAATGACAACAAATCCAACAGGACTTATAATTAAGACTCTTTCTTGTACCATTATTATCAGCACAGCTAGGCAATCAATGATACTCAAAATAAATTACAGAAGATCCACGACTCGTTTCTTTTCTCAGCAGCCGAATGGAATCAATAGAAAAACACTCTAATGTAGGACGAAGATATAATAAAGAAAGAAGAGAAGAGAAAATCTAGGTATTCAATAGCAATTATTAAGATGTGAACAGGTCCATATATATATATATATATGTATGGTTGCGGCAATCCTACTTGAATCAAACTAGAATACAAATCAAACTCGAACTCAAATAAAACCTAGTGACTCCTAAAAAGGCCCATATTTTAAAATTGTGCTAATTATCCTATTTGTGGATAATTAATTGAATCCAATTTAAATTAGGATTTGAGATAATTAATTATTTGTTACAAAATAAATAATTAAGTTTAATCCTAATAGGATTTGAGTTAATTATTTCTAACTCAATGGAATGAACGAAACGTAAGAATAAATATCATTGTAGAAGAAAAATCTGAAATAAAAATAATCTTATTTTGGTCTTTGTAATTAGAACAAATTCTACTTTGATTTACATTACTGAAAACGTTCCACATGACGGTCAAATATCATTTTTCATTCTGTTTCAATGGATTGAGATTATTGATGGAAGAACTTTATGGGATAATTTAAATTTTATAACCCAAGATTTGTTATGGGATATTTTGAATGTTAGTGGCAAAAATCTAGAGCGAATGCCACAATAAATCTAAGAATACACATATTGAGTAATTATGGACCCGTTTGTTTTATATATTCAAACTCAAATAATTGATTCTGCTACAACGTTTTTCTTTTACAAAAAAACTTTAATTTCAAACGTCAGAATCAAAAAAATAGTTTGAGTAAATTTCAATTTTCGGTTCTTATAGGGGTTGTTTTTTTGTAACAAAACTCAAAAAAAATTTGAACTCAAGTTATAACTTTATTCAAGTTTATGTTCTTTTGTAAAATTTAAGTTTGAACTCGAGTTTGGAGCTAAACTCGAGTTCAAGTTTTTCCTTCAACTCGAGTTCATAAACTCGAACTCAAGTTAATGAACATTATTTTTTCTATTCTTAAAAATGACATAACTTTTTCGTTTTAATTCTGATTGAGATGATTTTTTTTTTCTATGCATTCACAACGAAAAGACGAATAAAATCCCATCTATATACCCTATTAAAATTTATCATCACCATTGAGTTTTTATTAAAATACTATCTAAATACAAATTTAAGTTTTGATTTATCCAAACACAAACTCAAAAAGATTCTCAATTCAAATCATAACTCAAATGTGCACATCCAAACACAAACTCAAATTACAACTTCAACTCAAGTTATAACTCAAACGCAACTCAAAATCATCACTCAAATCACCCTAACTCAAAAATGCAAAAGAACAACCCCATAGAAACTACTTCTAAATGACATCCTTAATTGGACGTTTGGTTCATGGATTCAGAATTATTCTCGGTTTACGTGTATTTTTTGTGAGAGAAAATACTGTAGCGAACAACGAACTATGATTCGAATCAAGACACGAATCCACCAACCAAACATGCCGTAAGTTTCAATTTTGGTTTTCAATGTTTTCATCCTGAATTAATTGGAAAAAACCTACCCTATTAACAAATTTCTCAACAAGTTGAAGGGTTGTAGAAATACGCGTTCTCGCATCCTCAGGACTAGTGGCGCTCATCATCATCTCCGTAACAAAGAAAACAACCCACTGTGCTCCATCTATAGGAACATTCGCAGGTTCTGATGGATTCTCTCCTGCAAGTTCATAAAATTATTTGCTGCGATCCTTTTTGAAAAATGTTATCTTGCACAAGTTAATGAATATATTATTACAGAACTAATTGTTTCGCTTATTGGTTTGTTGGACTACTATCAATTTGTTTGTCATTGTCACTGCTATAAATTCTACATTAGACGATGTTTATTTAACGACATTTTAAGAAAAACAATCGTCTAATATGGTGAAAAAACACGGAACGAAAATTTCTATATTTTAAAATTTCATACATTAGACAACGGTTTTATAAAAAATCTTCGTTAAATGTTCGACATTAGGCGACGGTTTTAAAAACCATCATCTAATGGATACGAAAAAAAATTAAAATAAAAAAATGCAAGCACATTAGAGGACGGATTTTTAAAAACCGTCGTCTAATGTCAACATTTAACGATGGTGTCTAGGAAACCGTCGTTAAATGCCAAAAATTTAAATAAAAAAAAAGCGGACTTTTCATGCTCATCTATTTCACTTAAATTTTGAATATTTCTCTTTCCCTTCCATAATTCCAAGGACTCTCTTCCATTTTTTTTTCTCACTCTTATCTCCAAAGTCTAAACATTTCTCTCAATCTCTCGCTCTTCACCATTTCCCCATTCTCTTTCTCTCTCTTTGTCATTCCCTCTCTAATTCATACCCCTCCCAAACCTTAATTTTTTTTTCCCAAATCCCTCTCTATTTCTTAATATCATTTTTAGGGTTGAAAATTGTTTAAATGAGGCTGTTGTCTGGTCTCTCAATAACGATGAAGAATTACGAATGACCTATCCTTTTTAATTTCTTTCTTTTTTAATAGTCAATTTGAAAAATAGATAAAAATCGAGGAACTTTGATTTTGAAAAAACAAATTAAAGAATAGAAAAAAGATGAACTTAATTTGGACTCAAGATTATCGCAAATGGTGGTGAAGCTGCAATTTTACTATGATCGGATATCTTGATGAGCCTCATTTTATTTAGTTG